TAACTGCCCCCCAACCCCAGCCCGAGGAAGTGGGAGGCAGTACTTCCATTAGAAACAAGGATTCTACGGGTATTTCATTAAAGGGACTTGTCCAGCAAGCCCTCAGCCCAGGAGGAGACTAGAAGGAAGCCCGGTGGCAGAGTCGGTGTGAATAGTCAACAAGACTCACTGTCCTGCAGTCATCCATACAGGCAGCAGCTGCAGGAGGTTAAGCATCTGAACTGTCCAATAAATAGGAGGCAGTGGACTGAGATCCCTGGAAATACCGATTTATAAGATGAGACCTCGGGCAGTTGATAACCAGCGAGAAGCATAGCATTGATAGGTGCATTCAAGGGGAGTGCCTGCCTCTCCCAAGTTTTCCAATGCACCTTGTAGCCGGAGGCAGGGGTGTTTTGAAATGTGGGAGGCCAGCCCAGGAGGACCCCTGCCCTGTGCTGTGTGTCCCTGGTTCACACTTCAGCTCCCAGGGATGGAAAACTTGGTGCGTTTTTGGCAAAAAGCCGGCCTCCTCCTGCAGCCGAGCCGCGAGGCAGGCAGCATCCGCTCAGTGACTTGCTCAGCCAGAGTCCCGCTTGCCAGGAGCTTGTCTGGGACACACTGGCCATTCCCTGGCTGCCCGTGGATCCCTGCCTTTGGCAGCAGAGCCATCCAGGCTTATCATAGATCCATGATTAAGGCATTCCCATGGCAGTTTGTGTCATGCGGCCCCTGCCAGGTGGTAAAGTAGCCATAGAAACAGGGAGCTGTTGCCGAGCCCAGTTTGACACAGACAGCGTGACTGCAGAGCAGCGTTAAGGAGGGCGCTGGCGAAGATTTGAACAGGGGAAGCCAGTAGCGGAGGAGTCCTCTGAAGGAGAGGGGAGGACAAGGACGGTCCACCAGGACCTTTTGGCTTTCTTCCTTCTAGGAACCACCGCCTCTAGAGCGCCCCCTGCCTATTGCCCAGGAGGAGCCTACGGGGCCAGGCGGCCTGGGCAGGGGTAGAGAGAGGAGCTGAGCCAGTCCCAGCACCCCCGCTGGGAGTGTCTTTGGAGTATTTTATTCTTGTAGCTTCTAAGGTGCTAAGGCAGACGCAGGGTGATTGAAGCCGCAGCCTAAGCAATGTGGCCTACTCAGCATTCTGCTGGCAGTTTGTAAACTCTCACCCGGAGCCAAATTGTCCAGCTTTTTACCAAAAGAAAAGCTCACTCGCCATGGCTGCGAAGTTACAGCTGCTCAGTCCTGGTAGAGACTCTGGTCTGCTCAGCGCCGGCCTTGGCTGCAGGGTGGGGCAGTGCAGGCAGGGAGGACGGTGCCACCCCCAACCCCCAGTGGCCTTGAGCACTTCCCAAAAGCCAGACCCAAGGATTGACGGGGCCTGAGCTATCTGAGGTCACTCGGGAGATGCTTTGGAAAGCATTCTTCACTCCTGCCAGCCGTGCTCCCCGCAAATGCTTGGTTCCTCAAGGAAGGGTTCCTCAAGGATTAGGACCTCTATGCCATAAGCATGCACCGAGCTGACAGGGCACTGCGCTGCAGGGTGATTAGGCAGAGTGAGTCCCAGAAACAAGAACAGGAAAACCACCTTCTGAGCAGGTCCATCTGCCTGAGGGTCGGTCATGTCAACCAGGGCGGCCTATACCTGCCCTCACTGATTGCTCAGGGTAGGACCTGCGGGCAGTGGCAAAGCCCTGCTCTTCGGGGGGTTCTCTGCCGGATTCAGAAAAGGAGGCTGTGATCTGCAGAGGGTGTCCCCAGGGGAACCAGCAATGCATAGATCTGTGTAAAAGGCTCTGCACCCAAAGAGTAGCAGATCTTTGGGTGAGGGTGGAAGTCCTAGAGTTTCCCAAGATTTTCACTTGAGAAGCAGTTTCTCTCCAGAACTGTCCATAACTCTAGCTTTGCGAACGGAACTAGAAAGGCCGAGCAACCAGTGGACTTAGTTGGAACAATGCCCCTCGGGCAGCTGTTTTGCTCAGGCTCAGCCCCCAGCCTGCTCCGCAGGCCTGGCGCCCTTGGCCCAGCAGCTGTGCTGTTGCTTCATCCGATGAGCAAGGCGCCAGCCCTGGGGAAGGCAATCTTCCCTGTCAGTAGGAACCAGCTCTCACCCTGTCCCCCACCAGCACCTTGGGCCGACCCATGGCACTCGGAAAGCCCACTCTCCCACCTACACACGCAAAGAAAAGAAAAGACTGGATTGAACAGGACCCTGATGCTCTTCTAGGCCTCGGAGCTGTGATGGGAGACTCTGTCAGCACCTCCCCTGTGGCCAGGGCTAGGCTAGGGGTGAGAAGGGGCGGCGGGCAGCTCACAACTGCGCTGTTCCTGTAAATGAAGCATCGGTTCCCTTCTGTGTCCGTGCGCAGTAATTGAAGGCAGAAAAAATGTCTCGGTGATTAACTGTTGGTAGTAAACTTTCTGATCAAAGTGAGTGTCAGGAGATAGCCGGAGAGGGCCTCCTTATAAATAGGTACCTGTAAAATATGTGTGTCCTTGAGGGGCGGGGAGGCTAACTAGCACCCAGAATTCAGTGTGGGCCAACTGCAGGGGGAGAGAGCGGCACCCGGAGTGTTCAGCTCCATGTTAATGGGGGGAAATGAAGGTGTCGGCTGAGGAACTGAGTCCCACAGGTGACATGCCCAGCGAGCTGCTTTTGTTTTTCTTTATCGGAACTCTGCTCGGGCCTCCCTCCCTCTCTCCCCCTAAGCTTCTAGAGTATTCCTGTGCCTAGACTCAGGGAGGCAGGCTTGCCAGCGGCCTTGAGCGTGCCTGCCCCAGACAGGAAGGGTCTGTTTCTGGCAGCCTCTCCTCCTGTTTTTGGTCTTCCCGGGCAGGTCCCACTTACCCTTCCCCTCGATCGCTGCTGTCACCTTTTTTCTCACCCAATTCCAAGACAAGGAATTAATTAAAAGACCCCTATTTTTCAATCGGCCTGAAGCTCAGGGCAACCAGAGATTAGTTAATTCTCATTCCCACCCACTCCCCTATTTGGACAGCTGCCCTAAGGAAACACAGCTCCCTCTCTTTTCTGGTTTGTCTCCCTGGGAGCACTTTTGAGGTGCCTTTGGGGTGTAAAGTACCATATCCTCCAGCAGATAGCCCGCATCCAAGGTCACCCCCAAGGGCCGTGCCTCAGTTCCCCAAGCTTGTCCTGTGGCCGAGGTCCGCCCGGTTGAAATGACTTTGCAGGCAGTGGGGGCTCTTGCACCTGCAGTTGACACCACTTTTGGCAGAGGAGGGAGATTCCTCTCCACCACATTTCAGGTCGAGCTTATTAGGCGTGTGGCTGGAGGGGCTCGCACATCACAGAGCGAGCTAATTGGCTGCAGTGCTCTCTGCCTCCGACCCATTTCCACTCTCCAATTAAACTCCCATCATCCCGCTGTCCCGGGCAAGCCGCTGCCACCTCGGCTTTGGCATTTCTGTTTGGGTTTGGATGGGGCCGAACCTGGGAGGGGTGGCTTGTGGTCCTTTCGAAGGTAACTTAATGAAACACTTTAAATACTTCATTTTTTAATTTAAAGTCTTTTAATTAAAGCACTTTTCGTGGAACCCTCAGTCACAAGTTATTTCCCCACATCCTTCAGTACTTAATCTCAGAGCAGAATTGGAAATATCGATAGAAAGTGTAAATCATGCCCTCCTGCTGAAAGCGTTGTATCAGGTTTCAGCTCAAAAGAGCACCATTACCTTTAGCTGTCACGGATCTGTACACTTGATCGATAAACTTCAAATATTATTAGAGGTGGAGGCTTCAGAGATTTGCTCTGTTCTTTGGAGAGAGACAGAGATAAATCTTTCTTAAAAATTGACTTGAATTTGCACTCTTAGTCTTCCTGGTGAAATGCATTTCTCTTAGGCGTCCAGCAACTGCAAGGGGGACAGATTTATAGGCCATGTGCTTCTTGTACTGAAAGATTTAAATGGTAAATCCTTCACATATGACTTCACAAATCATGTAAAGTTAAAAGATTTTTACCGTTTCTGTTGCTGCTGTGCTTAAATTGTAAGGTACAGCTAGTAAATCATTTTAATGGAGGTGTCGTACTTGACTCAATAAAAAAAAAGACAATGGTTTAGCTTCCACTCCAAAATGTTAATGTATTAATCAACGGGAGAATAATTGTTTTTTACCACATTATAAATCTCAGGTGCCATTAGGACTTCAGCAAGGGCTGATGTAGCCGCATTCCTAAATTAAAATTGTTTACACAGCCATACATCCATTCCGCATCGCCATGGCTCATTCTGGGTTCATTTTGGAGTTGTTCCCCAGCCAAACATGTCGTTCCTCAGTCGAAGAAGACATCCTGAGGGAGTGATGCTTATAAAGGAAAATTAATTGCATCGCGAAGTGTTAAATAAATAAAATAAAAACCGTCTGTGGCAATGGACAATTATTCCTTGCTGTCTTTTTTGAAATAGGTTTTTAGGTTTTAGATTGAGGCTTACTCCTCACACATCCTAAATGTAGCCAACATGTCACTTGTCTTTAGTCTTATAATCCTTGTTTTATCTCTAGGCAGCTGTGGCTTTTGAGCAACTCACTTTCCCTGTGCACGTGCCTAGCAGGGAATCAGACACTGGGCACCTCTGGCAAGAGACTCTAGCTAACCCCCTACACCCTGCCGCTCCTGTCCCTGCCCGAAGGTGCCATTCCCAGCGCCCCCTATATAGATCCTTAATAGGATCTGCAATGGACACAGATAGAGAGAACGCTAAGACCAGGCCAGGACCGGATAGACTCATTTCTTCCCTCCCTGCTCCCTGCACTTGTTCCACATACATTAGTGCGCCTATGCTGCTTGTAAATGAAATTGCCTTGTGGGGAGAACAGATCAATTCAGCACTGGACAGGTCAGTCTGTTCCCGCCTGTGTAACTTGATCCATCTGGATTGTTCTCTCTGACTCCTCCATTAAAAGAGAAGGTGGCCTCTGACCCTGGAGGAAGTGTCTCCAGGGCGTCTGGTGTCTTGTAATGAGCGCTACATCCCTGTTCCTCTTCTGATTTCAACAGATTCCCGAGCAGGTGAAGAAGGCTCCATCCGCGCGGTGGATCACGCCGTGATCGGCGGCGTCGTGGCCGTGGTGGTGTTCGCCATGCTGTGCTTGCTCATCATTCTGGGCCGCTATTTTGCCAGACATAAAGGTAAGCAGGGTGCTCTGCAAGGCAGGAGACTCACGTCTCCACGGCCCCCGCCTCTGGGGACTTGGCTCCGGTGTCCTTGATAGGCAGTTTGGTTTACATGGTCACATAGCCTACTTGATTCTGGAAACCGGAGCGGAACAAACAGCAATCTTAGCAGCTGCTGATTAGGACTGTGCAAGCTGATGAGTAGCACTCCTTGATTTGGATTTTCTCTAAATATAAAGCTTTATAGATCTGTGATCCCACAATCCACACTTGGGGATAGAGTAAAAATTATCAAATGCTGTACGAGGTGTGGCGTGAGCCCCAAAACAATAAACACGGACAGAGTGTGCCCCAAATCTACTGCGTTCTGGGAAGCAAGTGGACTCGCTGTGCCCCGGGGGCCCAAACTCAGGGTAAGCTGGTCACACAGGCTGGAATCCTTCGTTGGTTTGATGTGCCTTAAAAGCCACATAAATATGTATTTTTAAAATTATCAGTGCAATTGATTTAAATTGCCATTAATCATCACACTTATCTGTGCAGTCTGGATGGGCAATCATCTCTTCCAATGCTCCCCCCTCTGCCCCATGCTGCTCCAAACCTCTTCTCCCCTCTTGGTAATTTATTCTTCCTTTTCATTGTCGGCCCCTGTCTCTCCCAGTTGTTTTTCTCAAGCCCTGCGCAATGAGCTTGCGGGGCTGCTCTATAACATTAACTCCAGGGCCCGCAGTGCCATTGTAGGCAGTCCCGGGAGCACAGCAGCGGAGGCCCCAGGTACTTGACAACCGCCTTTAGGAGCCGGAGTGCCCATCTGGAGTGTAAAGCGGTCTGGAGCCCTCCACACCGGCTGTCCCTTCCCCTGTACCCAGGCTGTGCCTCCGGATGGGAGCAGGCTGTGGAGGCCAGAGAGCAGGACAGATCTTGCCGGCCCATGCAGCGCAGGGGAGGGGTGTAGTGCTGCACCGCAGGGGAGAGGGAAGGTGCTGCCCCGCCTTCTCAGAACCGTCCCTTTGAGAACTTGAAACCGTAGGTGATGTTCAGCATGTTTTACGTAAGAACCCCCAGAATGCAGCATCCCCTGTGGGGACAGGGTCACTTGGTTACCACAGGCAGTGTAAGCTCCACCTCTACATCACACCGAGGTGCAGTCCGTGTGTTTCTCCATGTCAACCGTTGGGACTCGGGGCTAAAAGTGTTGCCGACTGTCATGTTCTGTCGATTGTCATTATAAAGTGGCTGTGCCGATTAGCAAATCCATGAATCCGGGTCCGGGCTCGAGTCATATCCTAAGGGAGAGATGCTCCTTCTTGAAGGCAGATCCCCCACCTTGATTACGGCTGCTAGAACACCACAGAATATCTCAATCTGGAACCCCACTCTGAAACGGAAAGCAGGCGAAAATCAAACCTACCTGTGCGAGTTCAAGCACGCGCTCGCTTACGAATAGACAATAACGATTCACGGAGACACTGGCTCAGATAAACAATTGGAGATGACAATAGAACACCATCAGGGCCCTAATTCATTTATTGGCTAATTGCTCTTCCTTGCTTTGGTCTTTAACCATGTACGTGCACATACCGGTCACTGGTCCTGGGCGTTTACTGTTTACACGTTAGTGAGCAGCTCTCCAGCTTTCTGCATTTTTAGCTCCCACTCACGTCTTCTTCTGCTGACATCCTCTGGTCATAATCACTGCTCTAATGTCTCATTTGCTGAATTATATCGCAGCGGTTCAGTTGGAGTGGTGCCTTTGGAACCCCCGGATCCCCATTTGTCTCACCCACCTCGCTCTCTCCTTCCAATTGTTTTTTCCCCTCTGCTGCCTGCACACCACTTCGGCTGATGATGGCCATAAAGCAAGTTGCCATCTCTGTACCACTTTACACAGAGGCCATCAGACAGTCACGGTGCTTTACCCCTTCATCTTTCAGGTACATACTTCACTCATGAAGCCAAAGGAGCCGATGACGCAGCAGACGCAGACACAGCTATAATCAATGCAGAAGGAGGACAGAACAACTCCGAAGAAAAGAAAGAGTACTTCATCTAGATCAGCCTTTTTGTTTCAATGAGGTGTCCAACTGGCCCTATTTAGATGATAAAGAGACAGTGATATTGGAACTTGCGAGAAATTCGTGTGTTTTTTTAATGAATGGGTGGAAAGGTGCGAGACTGCGAAGGCTTGGGATTTGCTGTGTAAAAAAAAAAAAATGTTCTTTGAAAAGTACACTCTGCTGTTTGACACCTCTTTTTTTTTATTGGTTGGTTGGTTTTTGTTTTTGTTTTTGTTTTTTATTTTGATTTTTACCTACCAAGTCAAACTTGGATGCTTGGGTTTAGTTCAGATAGATTGCAGAAAATTCTGTGCCTTGTTTTTTGTTTGTTTGTTGTGTTCCTTTTTTTTTTTTTTCCTTCTTCTTTGTGCGCATTTATTTTTCTCCCCCTCCAAAAAGAGTTTTTGAATTTTTTTTTCCAAAATCTCCCGTTTTGGAATTTGCCTGCTGGGATTCCTTAATCTTTGTCCCCTGTATTTTTTTTTTTTCCTGTTTTTACCTTTTGTTGTTTGTTTTGGAAGTAACTGCTTTCTGTTCAAAATTCAGTTTCCTAAAAGGAGAACCAGCACAGTTTAGATCTCATAGTTCAGAATTTAGTGTATCCATAATGCATTCTTCTCTGTTGTCGTAAAGATTTGGGTGAACAAACAATGAGAACTCTTTGCTGCTGCCCATGTTTCAAATACTTAGAGCAGCGAAGACTAGAAACTTAGACTGTGATTCAGAAAATGTTCTGTTTGCTGTGGAACCACATTACTGTACAGGGTTACCTGCAAGTGCGGTGTGTCGCCGTGAGATTGAATTCTGTCTTTATTCTGTACCTTAGACGGCTCAGCATAGATCCCCCACGCTGTCCGGAAGGGTTTGGGGCAGAAAGGGCTCCGCCTTTCTCAACGCCCCGAGCAGACCGACGGCTCTGTTCCTTTTATAGAAGTGGACAAATCTGAGTTGCCACAGGAGGGGAAGTAGGGAGGGGGGGAGATAGTTCTGCTCTGGTTATTTCTGTTCCAAATGATTCCATCTACCTTTCCCAATCGGCCTTACTTCTCACTAATTTGTAGGAAAAAGCAAGTCCGTGCGGTGTGCGAATGACTGAACAGGACAGGGTTTTTGTGTTGTTTTTTTTTTTTTCTTCTTTGTGCTTAGTTAGGAAGGCAGTAGGATGTGGCCTGCATGTACTGTATATTACAGATATTTGTCATGCTGGGATTTCCAATTCGAATCCGTGTGAAACTTTCATTCCTTCAGATTTGGCTTGACAAAGGCAGGAGGCGCAAAGAAGGGCCGGCATTGTTCTCACACTGGTCTGCTGTCGATGTCAGTTCTCAAAAGGTCAGAGCAGAGGTGGAAAAACAGCATGTAGGGATATTCAGTTACTTAATCAAAACTCAAATGTGAGTGTTTTTATCTTTTTACCTTTCATACACTAGCCTTGGCCTCTTTCCTCAGCCTTAAGAACCATCTGCCAAAAATTGATTGACCCTCGCATGATAGCGGCCGTGGTGCATGGCTACTCCAGTGAGTTACCCAGAACATGTCTTAGATGGGAGCCTTGGGAAAAGGGAAAGTCGTCAAGGAACCATTGACATTTTTTTTTTTTTTAAGAAATATGGGGATGTTCACTGAAACGTCTAGGAAATCTAGAAGTAGTCCTGAAGGACGAAAACTGAACTCTTACCAGATGCCTTGGTAAGGCTCCAGGCTCCAGAATTCAGTCCCTGTGGAAAGATGGCATCAAAAAAAAAAAAAAAAAAGATAGATCTATATCTATATATATATAAATATATATTATATAACATTTTCAGTGAGTCGTTTTTGGATTTTGCAAGGTGCATTTTTACTCTTGTTACCTTACGTGGAAAACTTAATACTGATTTATTTAAGGGGGAAAAAGTGTCGATTCTTTTGTTATTGGAAAGCGTGTTTATTTTTCTTGTCTTTATTTTTAACCTTTGATAGAACCATTGCAATATGGGGGCCTTTTGGGAACGGACTGGTCTGTAAAAGAAAATCCATACCGAGCAGCATTTTGGTTTCCCCTCTCCTAACCCCTGGCACTTAACCAAGACGAAAAGCCACAACCAACATCCCTTTTTCAATGAATTTTCTAACGTGCAGTTCTATCCCGAGCCCTTAGCACCCACGCTGACCATAGTGTGATCGTATCCAAGGGTGAGAACCATTTAGCATGTCGTTGAAAGGTTGGTGTTTTTGTTTTTGTTTTTTGTTTTCTCAGCTGTTCTTTTTTAGGATATAAAAACAAAAGCCTACCATTCCTCACACGATTGGCATCTCATTTCTGGGACCTCCCTCCTCTCTGTTTTGAAAAGTGTACAGTAGTGCAGTGTTCCTGATGTAACTTTATGGCTTACAATGTTGACATGTCTCAGGTTTATGTGTTTCGATTGGTGTTTTCTGTCTCAGGTAGATTGCAAAGTGTAGGCCCCACACATTGGAAAAAAATAATAATAATAAAACAAAGCAAAAACAGGAAATTATGGGTTTTAGTTGTATATTGGTTTATGTATTTTTTCTTAAGTATACAGTGCACTGTTTGAAATGTATTGTTGAGTATTACTTTGTACAGGATGATCGCTTTTTTTAGAGTGAAGAAAGAACAAACTTGTTTTTTGTGTTTTTTAAAGGAATATAAAATAATGAAGGATGTATAATTGATGCCAAATAAGCTTGTTCTTTAGTCACACCGACGTCTTACTTTTCCCTTTAGGCCAGTTCTGTTTCTAAGGTGTACATGAACAATGTTACGGTGTAAGAAACTCCATATCCATATGTTCTCATTCGCATTTTGTATTGGTTCATGTATACCATTTTTACAAAAAAAAAAGAAAAAAAAGAAGTACTATAAAATATCTGTCTTCTTAATAAAAAAAATTAATGTTACAAAGTGATCCTTTAATCTCATTATGGACTTCTTACGGATGCCTGGGCCTGAGAGGAGAGGTGGGCGGGGGGGCCAGCTTCCTCCTCAGGACCCCACTGGGGGGTCGCGCCCGGGGCGGTAGATGGATGCTAAGAAAGGCTGCGCCGGCCGGCTTGCTTTCAATCACTCTTTCTCCTCCTCTGCTCATCCTGCCCATCCTCTTCTCTTCTACCCTCTCAGCAGACAGGTGGGCCAGGTGCTCAGGCTGCGCTGGGCCCCACCAGGTGGACTCAGCGATTTATGCAGGTGCACGGCCACCGTGATGGACCATCGGGACGGTCCCTCCTGTGGATTCCTCTCCTGCCCTCAACCCCCCTTTCACCCGCCACCCCCACCAACTTCCCTGTGTTGGCTGCTCCACCTGTCTCTTACTTTGGGATTGCGTGTCTTAATTCACTCCGCCTTCTTCATTTCAAGTTCTCTCTCCTCCACACACAAGAAGACATGCTCTGCGAGGACTGGCTGGGGCCTGTGGCAGATTGTTCTCACTGAATTGTTTAGGCTGCTGAGACTTCGGGCCGGGAGGGGTGGGCAGCAAGAGTGGGGTGTCTTCCTCGTTGCCTTGCAGGCCCAAGCCGGCGGTGACTCCACTTCAGGTGGCGGGTCTTACAAATGCACAGATAATACCTGAGCGACTCCGCATGTCCTTTTCCCACCAGCCTGGCAGCTGTGGTTGAGCTCTCCTTTTCTCTCTCGGGCAGGTTATGGGGGAAGCCCGGCAGTAGAAGAAAAGGTAAGCACCAGAAAAGCAAAGAACGCGTCTCTCATTTCAGCCTCCTCCATCCCGGCCTGGCCTCTCGCCTGTCTCTAAAATTCCGTGACTCAGATATGCAGTTCCTGAGCACCTCCTGTATGTCCAGCATTGTGAGAAACGCCGAGAAGTATAAGGTGGTTTCCAGAGGCTAACCAGGACATCAGTTATGCCCACGGGAAAGCAGAAATGACCCTCAGCTCTGGAGGCCAATGTAGTTAAGCAGCCTGGAGCAAACAATGTGGAATTTCTTGGAAAAGGGCTATCTGCAGGCCAGGGTTAAGACAGCTTCCGAAGGAGCCAGGGCCCCCAGCTGTGCCTTAAAGAATAGCTAGTGGGGGAGGAGTTGAGTGGCGGTGGCAGTCCCCAGTGAGCCCAGCCAGCTGGCATGTCTGGAAAGGATAAAATCACACGAGGTGTGGAGGGTAGGGTGAGTCTTGTTCTTGTGACATTTCCAAATCCAGGAGTGTCAAAATTTCAGGGGCTTCCCCCAGCCTTGCCAGAGGGAGGGAGCAGTGGGGAGCACTAACTCACCATAGCTACATGAAATGACCAGTGCAGGTGATAGCATGGAGAGATAGAGGACCTCCCTCTCTAGGCCCCCTGCGTTCAAATCCCCACTTGGCCACTTCTTAGCTGTAAAACCCCAGGCAAGTCACCTACCCTGCCTGGCCTTGTTCTGCCCTGTAAGAGCAATGAGTGCGTGTAAAGGTTGCTAGCAAATAAGGTAGCAGACGCCAAGTAAGTGCTTGTTACACTTCAGTCATAATACATGGGAGAGGCAAATTGTAATTTAAAAGGTGGCAGGTTACCCATGGCTACCAGCAGGGGTCACTGCTCAGAGGTAGCTATGTGGGCTCCCATGCACAAGACATGGGGTGTCCTTGTAAAGCCAACTAGGAGGCTCAGTGACCCCTTTCTCCTCACCATTACTCCAGGCCACGTGCACACAGGTATGCTTAGTGTCACCGACCATCTCCCCTTGTCTATAGCATGAGGTTCCAGAGTCAGCTGAAATCTACAGAGAAGGGGCCGAGACAGTCACTGAACTCAGGCAGACGTGAGGTGGCGTCTCGCGGCATGTCTGTGTTGGGGTATGCAAATGCAAAGGCGCCGGAAGCGTCCGCATAGCAGGAGCTTGATAAGTTGCCCGGTCCTTCATTCGGTCTGGGAGTGAAAATGGGCCTCGTGTCCTCTGGAGAGTTTTCACAAATGTTTTGGCCTGCTTGCATTCTCCAAATACATCAACTGGAACCCCGAGGTGATATGCTGGTGTTAATTGGTGCAATCTTTCACTGTCCTCTGTCTACTTGAAATGTAATTCTTGTGCTGCTGTGGACTTACTCCATGGAGAAATGTTCCTTTGATTCTG